TACGAGGCCATCTTGGCCGCGCTCGAGAAGCTCTCGAAGAAGCACATGGAACACATCTCCGTGTACGGCGAGGGTAACGAGAGGCGGCTCACCGGCCACCACGAGACCGCGCCCATCACCAAGTTCTCCTACGGCGTCGCCAACCGAGGTACATTCATGTTCATGAACCTTCTACTTTGAGCCACGCACGCTAACTTGACATCGTCGTCTCGTCGTCTTCCTTGCAGGTGCGTCCATCCGCATTCCCCGCCACACGTTCGAGAAGCAGCGCGGCTACATCGAGGATCGTCGCCCCGCCTCCAACGTCGATCCCTACCCCGCCTCTGCCCGCCTCATGCAGACCATCCTCCTCGACCCCTAGACGACGCACGGCGCGCCAAGCAAGGAGATGTAAACGTGTAGAAAACACGATGTAAGCAAACCGACAGTAGGAGAAGAACGAGATTCGTTGTTGTCCCTACACGCTCTCGGCGAGTCCCGTCCCCACCTTCTTGCAGCGCTGGTGGGCTTCTCGTTGGAATTCAAAATAGTCGTCCACCTCGATCTCGGTCACTCCCCCCCCCCCAATGAGGTCCCTATGAGGGTCTCTTCTGGCGCTCTCTCGACACAGGAAGTCGTCGTTTTTGTCCACCACCGCCCGAACGACCAGCATGGGGCTGAGGCTTGAAGATTAGAGCGAACCCCACCAATAAGAAGAGTCCGCGCCAAGTCGCGCTCTCCATCGTATGTTCCTCATATCCTACTCTCGCGGGAGACCTCCCCGCCCACCACTACGACCCCCATGCGGCGACCCCCACCACCTGTCGGGGGGGGGGGACTCAGCGCGCCGATAGCCGCTCGGTAGTCCCCTCGTCGTTCGGTACGTTTGGCCAAACAACACACGACACGGCACGACACACTGTGCTTATGTGTGGGGGGGGGGTGCGATATGGCAGGAACGCTCTCTCGGGCGGCGGTGTCGGCGGTGTTCCGTCGGCTGGGCGGGGCCGGGGCCGGTCAGTCGACCCTCTGGGGGGGGCATATCCCGCACACGGCCCGCATGCCTGTGAGCGCCTCCTGAAGCGCAACCGCCACCCCCCATCATCATGCAGCATCGTCATATCGTCATCGCATTATCAGCTCCTGCTCCTGCAGCTCCCGCTTCGAAGAGGAAGAGGAGGAGGAGGCGCCTCACGACGTCGTGCTGACCCCTCTTTCCCATTCCTCTTCGCACGCCCCCCCCCCAAGGTGTGTTCGTAATGGGCGGGGAGGGGGCTTTAATGGTGGCATGCACCCCACCATGGCATGGATGGCGAACACCTTCGGGCCAAGCGACCTCTTCTTCTTCTGCTGCTTCTGCTGCTGCTTCTTCTTCTTCCGTTCCCCTGCTGGCCGCGATGCATAGCGATGGATCGATCACCGCCGTCCGTCGTCGGGTACGTTCATCCAGAGCTCTTCATACCACTCTCCACTACTTCTCTCCTCCTTCACGGCCCCTCCGTCATCGTCGTGCTATCTTTCTTTTCTTCAGCCGTTTTCTTCGTTTGTTTCTCTACTTTCCTTTTCTTCGTATTTGGTGTATACTGTTGGGTGTGGGGGTGTCCCCGCGTCCAAGAAGCACAGCCGCACCAAATCAAGACCCACGCGCGCGTCGTTGTGTTTTGCTGCTGACGTGTCCGCTGCGTTTTTTCGGGTGCAGGAAAAATTTCGAAGGGGCGACCAGTTCTTCACCTTCGCATCGCACCGTCAACAACAACAACCACACCAGCAACCACAACTGCTAGAGACATCGTCGATGATGAAGGCTATGCAAGGTAGCATCCTGCTCCTGGCGTTCCTCCTTTTCGCCGCCCTCGCTGCTGGTGCGTGCTCGACCCCCAACGAGCTGCGTTCAACGGCCACCACCACCACCGCCGCCGCCGCCCGGCTCTTCTCCGTCGTCGGAGGCCTCGAGGCCCTCCCCCTCCATCAGCACCACATAGCCCTCTTTGGCCGCTCGACCTACAACCTGACGACGGGGCTCGACCAGCCCCACCTTCTTCCACTTCCTCTCGACTTCGACCACCCCCACCGCCACCTGGTCGTCGTAGGGGCCACGTCGTCCTACCGTCCGGGACCCCTCAACAACCTTCTCATCGAGCTCTTCAAGATCAACAACCTCAACAACGTCGTCGAGATCTTCAACAACAACAACAAGAACAACATGAACAAGAACAACAACAACAACAATATCGACATGCTCCTCCACGGCCCTGCGCTTATCGAGGAGGCTGTCGTGGAGGGCCTCACCCGCCATGGGGCTACTCGAGTGGAGACCCCATCGTCGCCATCGCCATCGCCGTCGCCGTCGTGGAGGGGCTACACCGGGCCGGTCGTTGCGCGCCTCCTGCTCGTACGCCCCTTCCTGGCCCTCGCTCGCAGCGTCGACTCTTCGCTCCCGTCGTGGAGGCTCCCTTCATCGCTCCCCTCCTGGTGGTCGTCGGCGTCGTCGCAGCTTTCTTCGATCATCGCGTCGGTCCCGTCGGCGGCGGCGGCGACGTGGGCTTGGCTCCCGTCGTGGAGGTCGGTGGTGCCCTTCGTTCAGGTGGCGCTCGGGTGCCTGCTAGCCCTGCTCGGCTACGCCCTGGGCACGCAGCTCGACCCCATCCACAAGCCCCTGCCCCCGATCCGCGGCTACCCCTCCTCCTCCTCCTCTTTCTGGTCGTCGTGGTCGTCGCCGGCCCTCCTCGCCTTCGCCGTCACCTCTTCGCTCCCCACGTGGCCGTCGTGGCCTTCGCCCCCCGCGGTGTCGGCCCGGATGTGGTCGATGCTGGCCCGCCCCGCGACCACCACCGCGACGACCGTGTGGCCGACCGCCGCCGCCGCGAGTGGGCTGCGGCGCAGGCGAGAGCGCCGGCTCGACGTCGGTCCGTTGGATCTGCTGCTGATAGCCCGGTCCATCGAGGCCTGCTTCAACGCCACCCACGCGCCGGCCCAGCCCGCCCACGACGAGGCGCCGCTCGTGAACAACAACACGAGGAGGCGGGAGCGCCGGATCGACGTCGGTCCGTCGGATCTGCTGCTGATGGCCAGGTCCATCGAGGCCTGCTTCAACGCCGCCCACGCGCCCACTCAGCCCGCCCACGCGCCTGCCCAGCCCGCCCACGACGGCGATGACGACGACGGCGAGGACGAGGTGCCGCTCGTGAACAACAACACCACCACCACCACGAGGAGGCGTGAGCGCCGGATCGCCGTCGGTCCGTCGGATCTGCTGCTGCTGGCCAGGTCCATCGAGGCCTGCTTCAACGCCGCCCACGCGCCCGCCCAGCCCGCCCAGCCCGCCCACGACGATGACCACCACGATGGTGACGACAACCAGGTGCCGCTCGTGAACAACACGAGGAGGCGCCGGATGATGGCGGCCCTGCACCACCACTAGGCGGCGCTCCCCCCAGCCAACCCCCCCCCAACGTACGTACACCCCACCACCACCACCGGCTCTCTCTCTCTCTCTCTCCTTTGGCCTCACGGCACCTCACGCCGGTTTGCTAACGCGCTACACCTCCTCCCTCTGCAGATACCACCAAAAAAAAAAAAAAAAAAAAAGAGCGGGGGGAACGACGGAAGACCAGCGACGAACAACACCACCACCACCACCAACAACACAACAAAAGAAGAAGAAGAAGAAGAAGAAGAAGAAAGGCCACCACCTACGAGCGACCTCAAGACAATCGGATGGTACGCACGCGCTCCCTCTCGGTCGACGTGTGGTGTGTGGCGCGTACCATAGCTGACGCTTGCTTCTCTCTCTCTCTCTTTACGACAGTGCTGTACGGTACCCCAGCACCGCCTGTGCATGGCACGGGGGGGGCTGGTACGGTACCGCAGCACGCGCCCCCTCCCATCCCCACAGGACAAGGTCCTCGTCGGGGAGGAGGGAGAGCAGCACCTGCCCCCATGCATCCCGTCCCGTACGCCACCCCTCCCCCCTATCTAATCTCCCCCCCCCATGTTTGTAGTTAGTTAACTAACTTTTTCGCGTTCGTGGTGCAGACGGAGGTGGGGTGGAGAGCATGCAGGGGCAGTCGAGACTACACGACCAGAACGACGCGTTGCCACAGTGCAGCGCGCGTTTCCTATTTATTTCCTTCGTGTCGTGTCGTGTCGTGTCGTGCAGTGATGATTGTATTGAGTGTTAAGGCCCTGTATCTCTCTCTCCCCTCTATCTCAACGCTTTCGGATCCCTCCTCTTCTGTTCTTTCCCCTCCCCCCCCGCCCCTTGTTCCCCTTGTCTCCTCCGAGCGTTGGCGCCCCCTTCTTCCCCTGTAAATCTTGTTAATAATAAATTCATTTGAAAAAACTAAAGTCTTCGTTCTTCGTTCGCCTTCGTTCTTCTTTGGAGCTCTTCAGAAGATGAAGCGCATGACCAGGTCCACGAGGGAGTCGGGCACGAAGTTGCCGAGGAGTACCGAGCCGTAGGCGTCGAGGCCCACGGTGACCCTCGCCGGCGGGAAGCGGGCCAGGAGGACGTCCTCCAGCACCTGCACGACCGGCGCCGGGTCGGGCAGGCTCTTGGCACTGCCCTCGACCGTCGTGAGGAACTTGCCGTACGCCTTGCGGTACCGAACCTGCGCCGAGGTCCCTACGAATGATGACCCATCGAATGTGAACATGATGATGAACGTCAACATATTTTCTAAATATTGTCTAGTATGTTGGAAAGAAGTACCGTCGGTGTGGTCGTCGAGGCGCTTGATGGTGTCGGGGATTTCGTTGATGATGTCGGTCGCGAAGCTACCGGGCTCGACGAGGGTCACCTTGATGCCGTCGTGCACCAGCTCCCGGCGGAACCCGTCGGCGAGCGCCTCGACCGCGTGCTTGGTCGCGCAGTAGCCCGCCATGTAGGGAATCGTCACAAGCCCCGCCGCACTACCGATGAACACCACACGCGCCCGCCCAGCCTCGGCTCGCCTCCTGCACGACCCACAACACGACACACGTCTCATCATTCATAGCTGAGCTGAGCTGAGCTGAAGGCCACTGCGGCGCGTACCGCTCCTGCCAGCGGCGGAGGTGAGGCAGGAAGGCGCGGGTGACCTCGAGCGCGCCGAAGAAGTTGACGTCGAAGCCGTGGCGCAGGTAGGCCTCGTCGACGGCCTCGAGCGGACCCAGCCGCTGCACGCCGGCGTTGTTGACCAGCGCCACCACGTCCAGCCCGTCGCGCTCGGCGTCGCGCTCGACCCAGCGCGCGGCCTCCTCCACCTGCTCCCGCTTGACCACGTCGCACAGGACCGGCCGCACATCGCCACGCGTTGACACGCCCGCGTCGTTGCCCTGCTGCTGCTTCCACGCGTCGACGAGGGCGCGGCCGTCTTCCTCGCGGCGCACGGTGGCGTAGACGACGTAGCCCGAACGGGCCAGGCCCAGCGCGAAGCGACGGCCGAAGCCGCGCGAGGCGCCGGTGACGACCACGCCCGCCCCCGTGGGCACGCCGTTGTGGCGCAGCACGGGGAGGCGGGCGAAGGCCACGCGGGCGCCCAAGGCCAGCGCCAGCCCGACGCCCAGTGCGACCA